TATGATTATATATATTTTTAAAAGAAATATGTTTTTAACGAAAGATATTACAGATAGTTATATGTAGTATTATAAATATATTATTTAATTATAATTTAAGAATATTTATAAACATTCTAGCATAAAAGTTTTTTTAACATTTTAAATTTTTTTTTTTTTTTGAATTTAGCTTAATTTTAATGTTTATTGGACCGTTTTATAAAACAATGTGCACGCTGTGAGACACAAAGAACACTGAGATACTGCCGCGTTTTTATGTCGTGACACTCAAATAAACCTGTTTTATTTAGGTTTGTTTGGAAACGATAAAAAAAATACTTTTACAATCCAAAAAAAGTTTAAAAGAGTTACAAATGGAGCAAAAAGGTTAATAGAAGGGCCAAAGTCAAATTTGCTGAATGTTAAAATAAATAGGCTAAGGCTGAAATGAACACTTTTTTGTTCATGATATTTCACTCATTTATTTAAAAATAGAAAACAGCAATGTTAAAACTAAATAAAAATGCTAAGGATCACCATTGGGGCAAAGTTGAGGTAAACTTGAGGGGCCCTATTAAGCATTTTAGATGCAATTTACAGTTTTTTTAAAAATTGTTCATTTTGTTGGCAAAATTGAACTTTTAGACCAATCAGTCCGTAAATAAAGACAATTTTGCAGACAAAATGAAAAGAAAATTGTTTATTAGTTTACTTTGACATACTGTTATAGAGCGCTTTTGAACAGCCAGTAAATAAATTTTAATAAACAAGATTTTTTTAATCAGCTAAATTTTTAACTATACACCACTCTCCACCCCCACGTGACACCTAATGCAATGTTGAAGCTAAGAAAACTACAATAAAAAATGCAAATATTTAGTTGAAAAAAAAAATTAAAGTAACATATGCTTAAGTACCATATCTAGTATCTGGTTATTGTTGAGCATCAATTTGACTTACAAAACTCTCCGAAGAAGTATATGTTCTGGAATTTGCACCTTGATTAAATAAAAAGAGTTAAACATTTTCGCATTTAACTGTATCTAAGAAATTTTATCTGTATAAATAAAAAATATATACTACACTAACTAATCTATTCAAAAAAAATAAGGTGACGAATGCCAAACTACCAAATCTAATATCTGTAGATTCTTGACGTTCATTTTGACTTGCAAAACACTCCGAAGGAGAAAATGTGCTGGAACTTGCACCTTTATTTGATAAAAAGAGTTCAACATTTTTGCATATAAGTTTATAGATAAAAGGTTTTTTTGTATAAGTCATATAAAAAAACCCAAACATCAGTTTTGTTAAAATAAAGTTTATTTATAACTTCATAAATACCATATCTTTTCTTTGCAGATTTTTGAACCTTGTTTTGCTTTGCAAAACTCTCCGATGGAATAAATGTACTGAAACTTGCACCTTATTTGGATAAAAAGATTTTAAAATTTTTGCATAGAAGTTTGAAAACCAAGTTTTTATTAGTATAAATCATAGAAATAAAATAAAACCCAAATACTTAAACTGTTAAAAAAAAGTAACAAATGCGTCACTACCATATCTAATATCTGTAAAATTTTGACTTTTATTTTGACTTTCAAAACAATCCAAAGGAGTAAATGTATTAAAAATTGCACCTTTATTAGATAAAAATAGTTTAACATTTTCCAATTAAACTTTGTTTATGGAATTTTTATTTGCTTAAACTAAAACAGAACACAACATACCGAAGGAATAAATGTACCTGAACTTGCATTTTCATAAGATTAAAATAATTTGACATTTTCTAATATTAGTTTATCAATGGAGATTTTATTTGTATAAACTATAGAACTAAATTAAACCATAATATTCAAAAGTTTAAACGTATGTAAATACAACTAGATTACTACCATAACTTGTATCTGTTGACTTTTGACGTTCATTTTGACTCGCGAAACTCTCCGATGGAATAAATGCACTAGAACTTGCACCCTCTTTAGGTAAAAATACTTTTACATTTTCGCATATAAGTTTATTGATAAAACGTTTTTTGTATAAATCATATATATAGCTTAAAATCCAAATATTTCTTTTGCTAAAAAAAAAAGTTTGGTAACAACATTATAAATACCATATATTGTATCTGCAGATTTTTGATTTGCATTTGGATATGCAAAAGTCTCTGATGGATTAAATGTACTAGATGTTGCACCTTTGTTTGATGAAAATAGTTTTAAATTTCTCATACAAGTTGATCAATAGAAATTTTTTTTTTATAAATTATAGAAACAATGTAAAAGCTAAATATATTATTTGTAAAAAAAAAAAACTACAACTGCTAGTTACCATATCTTTTAACAGTAGATTTTCTTGCATTTTGACTTGCACAACTCTTGAATCGGTAAATAAACTAGAACTTCCGCTTTTATTACTTAAAAATAGTTTTACATTTTTAATTTTTAGGGGCTGTACAAATAACGCGTGAAACCCATGTAACATTTTGTGACATTTTTGTCAACCCTTCCTTCTCCCCTATATGAGACGTGACATTTTTTTTAAACAAACAACCTAATTTACCTCAGAGTTGGAAAATTTTTGGTTAAAATTTCATCAATTTTGCTGTGATTAGAATTTAAATTTTAAAAAATTTATCACGTCACCCTGTAGCTTAGCAACCCTTTCTCTATGTGATTTTTGCGACACATTGAACAGTGTTTACGGAGACATTATTTGAACAGCATTTAATATTAAAGTATTAAGATGTCATTTCTTATATTTAGAAACGCTCTTGTGCTGAATCTTCTGATGTTGCTCAAAATAATGTAGACTTATTTTCATCAAATACATCTTTGTTAACCACATCTTCCTTAATTGACAAAAGTTCAATTGATTCAAAAATTGAGGTAAGATCACCATGTTTTACCTTTGTTTGCTACATAATGTAATATAATGTGTTCTTTATATAGATTTTCTTTATAGGTTTTTAATAAAAAAGTTATTTAAAATATTTTTCCAATTTTGTCAAAAATTAAAAAAAAATTACGCATGCTCAAGTGATTATTTTTCCCGTTCCAATAAAAAACGGATGAGTGGAAACTCACCTTTATAAAGCATAATCGTGTGCTTTGCTTTATTTATCTTTTGCACTTTAATAAAAAAAAAAGATTATGTGGCTTTATATAATCATCTCCATTATATTCATTAAATAATATCATTTATATTATTTAACTTAGGATTCAGTTAGGTCTGGTGATTGCAATGTGGAAAATGAGGTTTATTTAGAATTTAATTAATTTTCGATGCTTAGCATGTTTGCTAAAATCCTTGTGATTTGAAATTTATTTAGTAGAAATATTACACAGTATATTTTCAAGTTGATATTTTTTTTTTCTAGAATAAAAGATAATGTAATTAAAATATATGTATATATATATACATATATATATATATATATATATATATATATATATATATATATATATATATATATATATATATATATATATATATATATATATATATATATATATATATATATATATATATATATATATATATATATATATATATATATATATATATATATGACTCATATATGAATCTTGGTTTCTCGATAAAAACGATAAATGCACAACCAATATAACAATCTTTTGTGTTATTGAAAAACACTCATAATATGAGTATTTTTCAATAACACAAAAGATTGTTTTATTGGTTGTGCACTTATCGTTTTTATAGAGAAACCAAGATTCATTTAAGTCTTTTACAAAAAGGCCATACGATAAGAGATGCAGTAGGCGTGTCCAAAAAGAATATTAAAAAATACTTGAATTTTCATCAGTACATATAGAAAAAAAATCGAATGTTGGAACTTCTAAAAGAAATGATTTCTTATCTTGCAAAAATCTAAAAGAATATTTTGACCATGATGAGTCATCGATTTTGTAAAATGAATACTTTTATGACCAAAAGCCTAATGAGTATAAGCATAACTCAACTTTAAAAGAAAGTTTTTCTGCATGTTTTTCTAACCAAGTAATTATGCACTAAACAAGTGGATTGACAAATAATACCAACAAACTTATTGTCCCAAAAAAAATATAATCATGCACTGAAAAACAACCTTTTGTCAACAAAAGAATGGCGTAAATTTCCATTGATAAAGTGTAAGATAACAGATAGTCAGTATCCAACTTGTTTTGTATTTTTTTTAAAGGTAACTTAATTACTTTTTTGTAGCAAAATGTTTTATAATTAGATTCATTTTCATGTTGTGAAGAGTACAACTTTCTACATCAGATAAGATATATATAAAAGAAAGCATTAAAAATAAGAATAACAAATCATACCGCTCTTCATTGCCAGAACCTCCGCCACCTATTATGAATAAGCCCAATGCTAAAAGAATAACATAAATATCATAATTTTTTCTTAATGGTTTATAAATTGAAATAGATTCTTGTTTAATTTGATCTGAATAATATCTATCTAGCTATTAGTCTTTTTTATGTATTACTAAGATTTTCCTTTTATTTTAACTATTTGGGTGTCCTATTACATGTAATGTTGTTAAATTGGTTACATATATTTATATCATTGACAACACTCTATTGTATTAAATAATCTTTTAATCAGCTTGATATGAAAAATTGAAAATTGATTGAAAGCATGCTGAAGTTGTTTGAATTCAGTAATTGAAAGAGTACAAAATTGGTTGAAAGATTAATTTAAGTAACAGGTATGGTTGAGGGATTATTTATTGTTCTAATTATAGTTATTTCTTTTGAATAGAGTTGTTATCAGATTGAAAGATTGAACAAGATAATTTTTCTTCACATTTTATTGATGAAGACCAAGCAAAGCTCACATTGTCAAAGAGTTTTAAGTTTTATTGTGAGTAATTTTGGTTTTTACACCTCTGAACTTTAATGTGGAGGTCTAATTAATAATTGTAAAAGATAGGTATAAAAGAATAGAAATGCATTATTTATAATATTGTGATACGATAAATCATGTGTGTAGCATTTTGTCTTTAGTAGTTAAGCAAAATTCTTTATTATCAAAGCCTTTTACAGGATAAAGTTTTAGCTGATTTAAAAAGTAGGTTTTCCAAAATATTATGGCAACTTCTGCGATGGAGTAATAAAAAAAACTTACATGGATTTTTGAAATTTTAGTTTAAGTTACTCAAGCATAATTTGAATTTTAAAGTTCTTATTTCATTGTTTTGCTTTTTGGTTTTATGAGCTAAAAATGTTAATCAATCTTTTTAATCTTGTTTGTAGAGATGCAAAATGTTATTCTCAAGGAGCTTGCAGAAATAAAAGTTCTTTTAAAAGAAGTTTTAGAAATTAAGTTTCAGGCTACTGGGGTGAAGTTGCTAGAATCGGTGGACAAAGTGGTTACACCGGATAATAAACTAAAAGATAAAACCGAGTCTACTAATTTGGTATAATCTAATTATCTTAATTTTTAATAAGTTTGTTTAAATTTGGTTTAATAGTTTAGAATCTAAAAAAAAAGTATTTGTAAATGAACTAAAATATCTCGCTTGTGTTAGACTCGATATGTTGTAAAGAAATTTATATTACACTAGTTTTTATTACATTTAATTCAGCTTGATAGTTTAAAAAAGATTGGTGCTGTAAAGCCAAGAGAACATGTTTTTTTGATCATGAAAAAGTGAATGATTATGTTTTTATTAATTATTAGAAATATGATTAAAAGGGACCAAAAGAAAATCTTTTTGAGAGTTATTTGTTATGAATTTACTTTTAACATGACAATTTGATAAACTCGGGAGCTTCGCTGTTGGTGTTTAAGTTTGTTTGTGTGCTAAAGTAAGTGCAATGCTAAACCTTGTTTAGCATTTTATTTTTAAATTTAATGCTTTTACCTTTCATAATTTTAAGCATTCATTTATTAAACTATATTTTAATTTATTACATATATTAAAATAAAAATCTTTATATATTTCAGTTTATTGTTAAAATATTTATCAGGTTATTTTCGAATCAGTTACAGTCCAAATTAAATTGAAAAGGTAATGGGGAAAAGATAAGCTTAGAAAATCTTGTAAATATATGGAGTGTTTTACAAGGTATAGTTTTAATAGTATTTACAAAACTGATATCTGTATTAAAAAGATATTCTTTGACTTTTTTGTGTCATGCTAGAATTTTTGTATCCATAATACAAGTTTTTTTAGTTTTTTCATAAAAAAATTGTTGTTTATTTTTGTATCTGGTTGAGCTACAAATCTTCTTGTTTATATATATATATATTTATATATTTATATATATATATATATATATATATATATATATATATATATATATATATATATATATATATTTATATATATATATTTATATATATATATATATATATATATATATATATATATATATATATATATATATATAAATATATATATATATATATATATAATATAAATAATATATATATATATATATATATATATATATATATATATAAATATATATATATATATATATATATATATATATATATATATATATATATATATATATATATATATATATATATATATATATATATTTATATATATATATATATATATATATATATATATTTATATAAATATATATATATATATATATATAAATATATATATATATATATATATATATATATATATATATATATATATATATATATTAATATATATATATATATATATATTTATATATTTATATATGTGTATATATGCGTATATACAGTATTGGAAAAAAAATTTGCAACCAACATCGAACAATGCAAAAGAGTGTTCCTAATTTTATGTCTTAAAAATGAAACGAACTATACTACCACAGCAAACAGTTCAGGAGTCTAGAGTCATAGCATGCCATGAAATTAGCAATCAGCTGACAGGTGACAGCACACAGGAAGAATTTCGTTGACAAGTGCCATTTTGCAGCATACATATATATACTACGAAGCATGGTTAAGGCAATGTAATGGTCTGGGGGTATTTTTCTGCTAATGGTCTTGGTCCAATACATCGAATCGATGGAATAATGGACCGTTTCATGTATAAAAATATCCTGAAAGAGGTTATGTTACCTCATGCTGAATGGAATATACCAATAAAATGGGTTTTTCAGCAAGACAACTATCCCAAACACACTGCAAAAGTAGTCAAGCAGTGGTTTTAAGACAACCGTCTATTGATGATGGATTGGCCGCCTCAATCTCCGAATCTCAACCCTATCGAGAACCTGTGGGAGATCGTCAACCACAGAGTTAATCATGAATGTGTTAGTAATAAGGATCAACTTTTTGAACAAATCCAAAAGGCCTATGCAGCGATTCCACAAAGTTTCATTGATCACCTGATCAAATCTATGCCTTAAAGATGCAAGGCTGTGATCGACAACAAAGGATTCACCACAAAATATTGATATGAATACAGCTTGCTCAACATTTTGTGGAGTTGCACTTGTTTTGTCCAGAAGGAAATCAACTCTTTTTAATACTTTTCATTAATTTATTAATTTTTGTGTACAAATAATGAACTTGTGATGAATAAAATTTTAAAAACGTTGTCTCTAAACGGTTACATAGTTATTTCTCTACATTGAAAAAATACAGCACTTTTATACAAAGAAACTAAATTAGCATCATTTGGTTGCACTGGTTTTGTTCGATTTTGTATGTGTGTATATATATATATATATATATATATATATATATATATATATATATATATATATATATATATATATATATATATATATATATATATATATATATATATATATATATATATATATATATATATATATATATATATATATATATATATATATATATATATATATATATATATGCATCTAATATGCATCTAAAAACTGGTCTAAAAGACGTCTAAGTTCACGTCGTGAACGGGACATAAATAGATGTCTATCTTATAGATGTCTTTTAGATGCATTTTATTCGACACTAATAAATGCATTAGATGCATAAAAGATGTAAAATATACATTTAAAGATGTATATTAGATGTATATTAGATGCATAAAAGAGCTAATATTAACTAAAAAATTATCTATTATCTATCTTTTTTAAACGCGCATTAGACATCTATTTAAGAGACGTATTTTATACATCTAATATGCATCTGTAAGATGTATATTTCACATCTTTTATGCATTTAAGGCAATTATTTGTGTCGAATAAAATGCATCTAAAAGACGTCTTTAAGATAGGCGTCTATTTATGTCCCGTTCTAGACCTGAATTTAGACAATTTTTAGATTAGTTTTTAGATGCATACTAGATGCATTTTAGATATCTTTTTGTTTGCTGGGATGTTTACGGTGCTTTTTAACTAATATAAAAATTCCAATATAAACTAAGCCAATCCTACTAAAGTTAAGATAACATTATGTTATCATAATGATATCCTTATTAAATATCATAACTTACGAAAGTTTTGATAACATTCTGATATTTAATTTATCTCCTTTCTAGACTAAGAGAGAAAACCTGTATTCTTACGTTGCTTTATGACTAAAATACAAAACTCCAATATAAAATAAGTTAATCAACGAAAGTTGCGATATCTTTATGTTGTTATAATGACATCATTATTTAATATCATAACTTCAGAAAGTTTTAATATCATTCTGATATCAAATTGATGTTGCTTCGTGACAGGTTACATGAACATGTTCACAATATTGCGAACAATCGTAATGTTAGACCAGGGCGAGTAGTTGTTTTGCCATCATCTTATGTAGGAAGTCCTGAAGCTTTAAAAAAAACTTTAAAGATGCTATGGAAATTATTAAAAAATATGGTAAAGCAGATCTTTTTGCTACTTTTACTTGCAATCCAAAAAGTCGTAAATTAACAGAAACTTTACATCCGGGTCAGTCTGTGAATGATAGACCTGATTTGGTTACTCGAGTATTCAAACTGTCTTCTTTTATTTATTAAGTTTAAGACAATTTTTTTTCATACTAACTTCAGCTTATTAGGACTACTAACTAAGCACATTATTAACATAAGTATCTTAATCATGACACATACTCAACAAATATTTTCTCCCGATGTCTTGATGTTTTTAGCTTTTTCAAAGTATTTTCGTTTGTTAAAGTGTATAATATCTTTACCTAAATTTTTATATAATCTCTATAAAAACTTCACAAAGTATTTTGAACTTTTAAATAATTTAAAAAAATTGAAAAAAAAAGTCACCAGTAGTAGGACTCGATTCACGGCTTTTTTGTTCAGAAGCCCTTTGCGCTTTCCACTCGGCCATGCTAGCACGTTGTCTTAAGAAAACTTTTAAAACTATATAATAATTTTTTAAACGGAAATCATTACTACAGATCAAAAACAAGCAGATGTTGATGCAATGCAGTTTTAAATGAAATTCAAACTTGATACATAATAAAACTTGATACATGTTTAGTATGTTTTAACATTACATAACTTCAAGTTTACGTTAGATACTTGCTTACCTTAGATACTTGCATACACTTTCGTTCACAATTTCTTGTAACAAAATGTGCTGCCACTCTTTCTTGCCACTATCTCTGTTGCAATGGCAGCCAAGGATTCAGTGTCAAACACGCTTGAAATGGTACTTACACTAATATTAAGTTTAACAATAATAAATAAAACAATAAAAAATATATAGAAATCTAGAAAGTTTTTTAGAAACCTAATTTTTTGCAAATTGTATAAAGGCTATTCTCCACTAAACAAAATATATTGCGGCAGGCGTTAATTTTTGCTGCTTCACATGGGCAATTGAATTAATTTTTATGCGAGTCAATCTCTCCAAAAAAAGAAAAGCGATTTTTGCTTTATCAAAAGTAGTAAAATTTTGCAATAAAAAATGGTAGTGGAAAAGTAAATTTTTTTTCTTCTGCAAAAAAACTGCCAAAAAAGTAAGGGACTCTTATAAAGTATTTTTCAATCAAGAAGGTGCAGTAGATGGGCAATTAGATATCGTTTTGCTCGTTAAATAAAATTAAACATTAAAGTTTATTTTGAATATATATAAGAATAGCTAGAATTTTGCTTTTTATCTTTAGGAGAAAAATAGATACAACTATTAAAATAAAATTTATTCAAATCTAAATGCCTTCATATTCGACTCATAATTCTATTTCAAATAAAAGTTAATTTTCTTTTAACTTAGCTAATCTTCCTTTTTTTGTTGAAAATCTTTGCAGCACTGGAAAAAAAACTGTTACATATAAAAGATATTTCACAGATTGTTTTGTTTTTTTCCTACAAAGAATCAACTATGCGATAGTCAAGCTCTTTTATTTGCTTCAAAAAAATATAATCATATTTTCCTGTAAATGAT